AAGAAGAATGAAGAAGAATGGTGAAGAAATGAGAAGGTTGGGTTTTCTTATATAACGAGAAGGAGAGAAGAAGAAGAAGAAGAAGAAGAAGAAGGTGACTCTGCGATCGGCGTAGTGGGGAAGGAGGCGCCGTCTAAACAGTTCCCTGATTGGGACCTATTTTGGTTCCACTCGGGGTACACTTTTTGGTCCAACTTTCTCCAAATTGAAATCCGTTTGCACCGTTGCGATCAGACAGTCGAGCTCTATCCAACGATATACTTTTCATAATTATTTGTAATACTTTTTCCGACATCATATTTTTGGGTGTTTGACTTTAACAGAGTCAAAATTGGTTTAATTGACCTTTCTCATAAAAGGTTCTCTCATTTAATTCATATCAATTATTCTCATGATTTATTTTAATAACTCATTACAAAGTTCACATCTTAATTAATTAATTTATTTATTCTTGATTTGGGTCTGTAGTCAGGTTCCCAATCAAGACCACACAAATAGTCCACATATTGGATTTATCTCGATTAGACTTATCCAGATTTTGATATTGGATATTTAAAAAAATATTTCATATCGGCCCAAAGCCAAATAATAATCAAAACAAATTTGTTTAATCGAATAATTATTTAATAATAATTCTAGGGTATGTTTCGGGGCGTTACAGAGTTTCTCCGAACTGTGTAAACATATCTGGTGTCATTTTTTACGCATTTTTATAGTTACAGCATTCTGTCCAGTAGGCGCTGTAACACCCTCTGCATCATCTGCTTCTGTCTCTGTGTGCTTGTGACAGAGAAGTGTTATAGCACCCTGTCCGTCATCTGTTACTGTGACAGTGCTTCAGCATATTCTCTACAATACAGTTGATTGTTTTGTTTGCATAGTTCTTAATTGGCGATTTCCGCTGCGCCCCCACGAACTTTCAAAAGCTTAAGTATTTTAAGCAAACACAACTTGGGACTTATACCCAAAAATGTAAGAGGTTATTCGGAAATGATTAATAATTCCAAATCATTAGCTATATTGTCCCACATACCCAAAAATGTAACAGGTTATTCGGAAATGATTAATAAGTTCATCATGTTCTTGATTATCTACGTGTAACAAACAAAAATACTGCACGCTCAGCAATGACACTGAGTGAGAAATATTGAACACCAAAGTAAGACATAAAAGATGTAACACCCTAATCTGTCCAGGTCTGCAGCCCCTTTTGGGCTAAAGTATAAACTTGGTAATCATAAAATTCAAAACATTTCAAACACTTTTATTTATCACAATAATATTTTTCATAATATAAACAGTACGAAGTTTTCAATATTGCGGAAGCTTAACAAATCATAATCACAAACATAATTTATTTATGATGTTCAATTCAAAACTATCACATCCATTCCGACAATCTCGCCTCTGTCTACCTCTAGGATCACGTCACATTTACTTTCTATTAACCTGCGTGTTGCAAATAAAACATACTACACGCTCAGCGTTGAAGTTGAGTAAGCATATCTAATGTGCCGAACATCCATATATATTGAATATCAACTCATAATCAAATCGTTTGATATCATGCACATAATGTTCAATTCAAGCATTCATCATTCATGATATTCACAATATAATTCAAGTCATTTATCATTCATGATATTCACAATATTCATCTCAAGTCATTTCATGATATATGTAAAATTCCATATTCAATATTTCAATAGTGCTTTTAAATTGTTCTTAATATAAGGCCAAATCATTTTCATAACAAAACTCTTAAACTATTCTTAATTTGAGGCACTAATTTTAACCAACTCTTAAACGAACTCTAGTTTAAGGTTTTTAAACTATATTCCAGTTTAAGGTACTCATAACCAACCCTTAAGCTAGACCTAATTTAAGATACTAATTTTCAAAAAGGTTTTTCAAATTTTAAACTCTCCTTCGCTTCAGGTACAACCAGAAATCGAACAGTGGAATGCTCATTGTCGGGTTGGGTGGTATCCCCAAACGAGTGATCCTTAAGTTTAGTTTGTGAATTTTTACGTTTTTACCCAGGCCACCGAATATTCATAATTATACTCGCAAAGCCTATTTTTAATCTATCTTAGAGGTCTTCTAGATAGTATTAGAAACCAATGTCAACATGGATATATCTTAGAGTTCTTCTAGATATCCTTACAATACAAATCATTTCATAATCATCAATGTATTCATTTTAAATCATGGTTCAATCATTCATAATAAACATTTTAATTAGTAGGTTTATCAAACCATAATAATAATTATCAATAATATTCATCATAACCATCAATCAATATAACATCCAATAGCAAATATTGGCCTAGCTTTGAGTGTTCATACCCTAGCTTACCGGCATGCATCACATAAGATTTATTTTTAAAACATCATTTTTATTGTGAGAAATCATATGTATATTGACCATAATTTATTGATATCAAAACTAGGATTTTAGAGCTCAAAAATAGCATTTTCGAAAATATTTTTCGGATCAACCAATTCGGGGGATAGATCCAATACCTAGGATCAATCCACCTTTTGGAATCAATCCCAGGGGATCGATCCACCCATATGGATCGATCATCCTGGCAGTGTTGCAGAAAGTTACTATTTCATCGTCTTCTTCCTCGGGTCCATTTTCGAAAATACCATCTTTAAGCAGCAAACTTCAATTAAATTATATAGAAATGTTCTCCAAGGTTCATATATCATTTTGGTATCATTATCTCATAGTTTTAACATCAATTTCAAGATTTATGATTTTTGGTTCTTCAAGCATGTCAAACACAAACTCAACCAAACGACCGTTTATGAACGTAAAAATGATCTATACATGTAACGACTCGAAAACTGGCTTAGTAGTTAGCCGTTATTTTAATAACAATAAGTATTAAATTTATTTACCTAAAAAGATGAACTATGTGTAAAGTTGACCATTTTAAATAAAAATTGGGTTTTCGGATAGATCTCGTAAAATGGTGACCAACGGTATATAGTTTGTAAAATTTGGACTTACGTGTAAAGCGTGATGAGTAAAATAGATATTACAGTTCAATAAATAAATATAAAGATTTTTGATTAAATTTTATAATTAGTCCTTTATAACAGTGGTTTCCAAATTTAGTCTCCTATTATCAAATATTACCCTCGCAGTCCTTTTTTTAAGGGTGCCTTTCCACGAATGGTCCTTTTTTAAATCTTCTGTCATGTGGGTGTTAATTTAAAGGCTAAAAGTATGATTTGACATCAACATTATGTCTAGTGACATGTTTTAATATTGGTTAAGTGGATAACATAAAATAATGACTATGATTGTGGGCTAGGATTCCGACGGAAGACCACATTTGTAGACTATGGTTGTAGTAGAAAGCAAATGTAATTCACAAACTGAACAAACTTTTGAATTGTATATGACAAAAAAGATATATTATCATTGTGAAACTACACTTTTAGCCCTCAAATTAACTCCAACATGATAGAAGATCAAAAAAAGGACTATTTGTAGAAAGATACCCATAAAAGAAGGACCACCGGGGTAATATTTGATAATAGAGGACTTAATAGGGAAACCCCTCTGTCATAAAAGACCAATTGTGAAATTTACTCAAGATTTTTATATAATAAGTAATATAAACCTAATAGTACGTGTCCTACCAAAGTTTCCTGAAAGCATTTGCCGATGTATACACAGAGTAATATAAATACATACGAGTACTGACCAAAGGGCTGCAAATTAGTTACGGCATATTATTGAAAAAGAGAACAAGGCTGCAGGAGGAGCCGCACGAGGCAACTCGATGTGCCAACCAACGCCGTTGTGGTCGCCGACTGCACAGCCACCACAGGCCACCGCTGGGTTGCCAGAAAAACTGTGACGCCATTGTCCGTTATCTCCCTTGTCAATTGATTTGTTTTTTAAATTGTTAAACTATCGAGGCCAGTACGTGGAGATCTAACGCTAGATTATGTATGTAGATTTGAAATTCACGTTCTTAGTTTGGTATGATGATTATGTGGTTTATTTGATTATAATTAATTTATGATTTATTTATACTCCCTTCGTCCCCCAATATTCATCCACTTTCATTTTAGCACACAAACCAATGTAATGAGTAAAATGACATAATTGCCCTTAGATCACCCAGCCTCCCTCAGCTGCCCTAGCCTCCTTCAACTACCCAGCTTGTTCCCTCTGCCACCGAGCGTCCCAAATTGTCGTCATCCCGATTTCTACCACCACGCACAGCTCACTCATGTTTCAATATCGGAAAATAAAACCAGAGAGATGATCAAGAAAACAAAGTGGATTTAAATGACTAAAATCAACTTATGGAGAAAACAAAATCTCGAATTCAGATTTAGAACAACACTAAGTCGAGACATCCGATCCGGCCGTTGTCGGAGAAGGCATCAAACTCCGGCTAACATCTGATGCTCAAGCAGAGAGAGGGGGGAGGGAGAGAGAGAGAGAGAGAGAGAGAGAGAGAGAGAGAGAGAGAGAGAGAGAGAAAGAAAGAACGTCAAGAGACACAGCAGAAGGGGAACAGAGAGGAAGATACAAGACAGATGGGGATTAGATGTAGGTTGCATACAGATGAGGATTGAAAATAAGCTTGAATACGGATGGGCAAGAGAATAAAGGGTGAGGGCAAAATGGACATTTCATATTATTTTTCTTACCTTAATAGGTAGGGGTGGGCGCGATTCGTAACGTTCCGTGATACTACCAGGACCTATCACGAACTACTCTTATTTAAACGGTTCGGTACCAATACGGGAAGAACCCTAAAACCATTTTGTACCATTCCATTTTAAAACGGAACGGTACACTACCATACCCATGCTCAAACCGTGCTAAAAATATTAAACATGCATTACTCAAAGAATATTAAAATAAAAGTATAATTGTGTAAAAAAAAGTATTGATTTCAAATCGGCATGGACACTTGAAAACAATTAAAAAGTGCAATTTCAATCCACAAGTCACTTATATTCATACTAAAGCCAAAAAAAACATAAGTTGCTGCCCGTCACAATAAATTTCATAGGCTTCAATCTCTACCTTTTGGTTTCTATCCTATTTGAGTGCTCGGTTTCGTTTCTGCCCTATTTTGATTTTTTAGGCTAATTTATAATTTAGGAGTAAATTCATTTTTACTCCGTAGTGATATGAGTAAGCCAAGAGTGGCAACATAGGCTACTTAGGGGTTTTGGGCACTAAGGTCTTTAGCCTAGAAAATAAATAAATTAATAAAACTACTTAACTTTTAAATTAGTGATATTAAATGCCTAATCTTTAATAGCATTGTATAATTTTTACAAAATATATGGAAATTTAAACGGTTTGGGATTATCGGTATTTAATTTTTGTATCACGGTCTCGTCCCGTTTGAGAGCGGTTCGTGATCGGTTTGTGATGAAAAAATCAAATCTCATTTCAAAATAGATGAAATGGTATGGTACCATTACGGTTTAGTTTGGTACCATGCTAATTTGGTTTTTTGCCCACCCCTATTAATAGGAAAGTGGACAAATATTGTGGGACTGCCCAAAAAGGAATACTGGACGAATACTGAGGGACGGATGGAGTATTATATATTATCATTGGAATTGATTGATTGAGCTGAGGAGGATCAAGTATGTTTTCTTACTTAATTTAAGTTAACAATTCAACATTCAAGCTCTTACAACAGCTCATATCAATTACTAGCTCATAAATTATACTCGGCTAAGGCAAACTCATCATTATCCACAATCTTATCCTAAGACTTAGAGCCACTACCTACGGCCATAGCTCAAGTCTACGCTATGACATCATAACCACTACCTACGGCCGTGATCCTGGTCAACCCGGTACCTGCAGCGCCGGTTGGGTGGAACCTTCAATCCATGTACGTACATCTTTACCCGAATGCCACTTGACTAAGTCCACGAGGCTCTACACCGATTGTCATCTCACAATCTCAATTCTCATAAAGTAGCCCTAGAGTTCTTCTAGGTAACCTACATCATTCACTCACTTTAATTACTCAAGTCCAAATTAAATTGTAACACCCTAATCCGTCCAGGTTTACAACCCTTTCCGAACTAAAGTATTAACTTGGTAATCGTATAACTTAAAACATTTCAAATAACTTTATTCACCATAAATGAAATTTCAAACATAATTGTAGTAAATACGGAGTGTTTAATGCGGAAGCGATTTTTAAACATGATTCATAATAACATAATCATTTATTTTCTCAATAAATCCACCACGACTGTCTCGCCCCTTCCGCTGCCAAGAACATGCCATTCACTCATTCTGTCTACCTGCGTGTAGCAAATAAAACATACTACACGCTCAGCGATGAAGCTGAGTAAGCATATCTAAAGCGTCGAACATCCAAATAAATTGAATCTCAATTCATAATCAACCATTTGATATCATGCACACAGTATATGATTCAAACATTCATGATATTCTCAATATTTTATTCCAAGTCATTTGATATTCAATATCTCAACCATGCTCTTAAATTATTCTTAATCTAAGGCCAATTCATTTTATAACAAGCTCTTAGCTATTCC